AAATGGAAATGGAAATGGAAATGGAAATGGAAATGGAAATGGAAATGGAAATGGAAATGGAAATGGAAATGGAAATGGAAATGGAAATGGAAATGGAAATGGAAATGGAAATGAAGATGAAAATGGAAATGGAAATGGAAATGGAAATGGAAGTGGAAATATTCAAAATAATGCATTAGTATTAGCAATCAATTATTACACTGAAAAAAATGATAATTTAATTATAGGTTATTTATTAGAATATTATTCCAACAATGCTATTGAACATATTGGATGGATGATCACTGTTTCAACAACTCTACCTTTACTTTTCAAATCTCATTTAGAAGACTATGTGTATGATTTATTTTACAAAGAATGTTTTGCTGGTAATAACATAGGAATAAATTTTAAACTTTCTTTAGATAAAGAATTGGCTAGTAATAGCATAGGAATAAATTTTAAACTTAAAGAAGATACTGAAAGCAACCTCCTGCAAAATAGTGTAAAGAAAATTCCTTTTAAAAAAATAGCTTTTGGAAAAGATAATCAAAATAGAGCAAATGAGACTAAAGAGAAAACTGCACAAAAAGCTGAAGGAAAAAACAAACACAATATAGTACCATTCAATTTGTGTGTAGTACCACTTCCAAATTTCACAGTTAATAAGATTGAAAAGAAAAATGTTCAAAAAAAAGTTGTTATAACTTTTCTTAGACGTTTTATACTTCCTCATAAGTATATTGATGATAAAACAAAACTTAGTCCATTTATTCAAATGATTGAATTGGATGGAAAAGGTTTAATCTTTGATAATCCAACAATAGAAACCTTAACAAATTTTTGTTGGCAACCTGCAAAAATATATTTCTTAGAACTTTTCTTTATTTTTATACAATATGCAGCTTGTTATGTTATATTAGTTTGGGCTTATACAACACATCAAAACAGTTCAAATAATCTTCGAAACTTTTTAATTTTAGTTATGGGTTATTTTTATTTTACAGGATATCGTCTTTTATTACTTGAATTCAGACAATTAAATTTTTATGGATTTAGTAAATATGTTTTTAATAAATACAACACATTAGATATTATTGTTATTATTGCACCTCTATTAGTTGGAACATCTATAATAGTTAAATCATTTGAAATTGAAGATGCATTTGGTAGTGTTAAACCTGATCAAGGAACA